CGAAGGTGGCCCTCATTGAATAGACGTGCTACCTCCTCTCTCAATTGTGTGCAATCATCGGTCCTGTGGCCATGCGTACCATGATACTTGCACATCGAATTCGGGTTCCTTTGGGAAGGGTTGGTTTGCATGGGTCTGGGCCATCTAGTATCTTTGATTCTTCCGATCGCCGATACAATGCCCGATGCGTCGACGCTGAAATTGTACTCCGATAGACGAGGTGCTTCTATAGGATCGGCATATTTATCAAATCCACTCTTGCTCATAAGCCCCCGAGAATTTTGTCCTCGATCATTCCTTCGATTGTTCCGAGTGGCATTGCATGTTGAACCGTTATTCATTCGATCTGCCATGTACGGTTGATATCGGTCTCTGTTCGACCTTTGCTCTCTGTCGATGTCCCTCTGGTTTTTAATAGCTGTCCTGTTCTGATGCATGGATTCGGAAAGAGCTCCCAACTGGTCGTCTTCGACCCTAATTTTTGACTGATATCGGTTGTGTACATCCTCCCAAGTTATTGCTGGATACTCAATCAAATTTTGCTTCAGCTGACGTGATGCTACTGAACTTTGTTCGTTTAACCCTTGGGTGAAAGCTTGGACGGCCCAGTCGTCTGTGACCGGTGGCAATTCCATGTGTTCCATTTGAAATCGGGACACGAACTCTCTCAGCATTTCATTACCCCTTTGTTTTACTTTGAAGAGGTCCGATTTCCTTGTTGCAACCTTTATGACACCAGCATGTGCCTTTACAAATGAATTCGTTAACATGGCAAAAGAATCGATGGAATTTGGTGGTAGATTATGATACCAAATCATCGCTCCCTTCGAGAGGGTCTCTCCGAACCTTTTCAATAACACGGATTCGATCTCATCGTCTTCCAAATCGTTACCCTTGATGGCACACGTGTAAGAGGTGACGTGCTCGTTAGGATCGGTCGTACCGTTATATTTGGTAATTTGGGGCATACGGAATTTTTTGGGGATTGGTTTTGGGGCTGCACTCGGGAAAAAAGGCTATTGTACGATTTTTTTTTGAATCCAGCCCTTTTATCATTGGTGGAGCTCCCGAGATCTGATTGACCCTGGAATTATATGTTTTTATTTTTTTATCGTTGTCTTCGACTCGTTTTGTGAGTTCCTCTAGCAGCTTAGTAATTTCGGAAGTAGTCCCCGATTCTTGCTCGTTTGACTTCACTATGACTGGTTCCGTTCTGTGGGTGATTTCTTTAAGCGAATTGGGCTCCGGTCTGCTTTGTACCTGAGTTTGGCTCTACAACTGAGCTATCGCTATTTGCTGGGCTTATAACATCTCGAAGATCATCCGTAAGCTGACTCCGATCTCCTCCACATTATGGGTATCTCGAGCTACGGATCGAGTACCGTGCTGAATGTTTTTTTCCAGTTTGGAACGTTGGTTCGCCTCAAGAGCCACTTGTGAATTGACATCTAGTGGCACTTCGACTCGAGCTTCGGTGACATCGTTAAGTAGCCTTCCGGCCCTGGGTATCAAGTTGTTGGTTTCATCTTGAAGGCCGGCTTCGTGGTCGATATATAAAGCCATCAATCGAGGGTTTGCCATTGTTGATTTGAAGTTGTAAACTGGTGTGTATTGCAGATTTGTATCAAACAACCACTGTTACCCTTAGCCACACGGTGGGCGCCAAACCATTTACCCGAAAAATCGAATATTGTTGAATTTATTAGTAGTTCTAAGAATATGTAATATAACTTGACATAAATCGTACTAGAAGTGGAAATGTTTAGATTCTTGGCTATAAAAACGGGATATGAATTATTGAATAAGGAGAGTGAGTATGCTGAGTAAACCAAGCTCAAGAGATTTATTCTTCCATCGGAGAAGTAGTCTTTTCTTACAATGTGTTCACCTGCCCTGTGCTTACAGGGATTCCCCCTTTTATAGTAGAGGGATCTTACTTTATTTACAATAAAAAATATATAGTGGAGAACCCATGATGAATTGTCTCTTCCTCGATTCCCGCCAAGATTCTCTCCCCTAGTATGGTTGCAACGACTCTTGTCTGCGAACTCGATACTGGCTCGAGCTCGGTATTGGGTCGAGCCCTCGGCCTTGGTTCGAGTTCGACATTCGGGGTGAGTATCAATCGGTCTGTGTGTCTTCGACATTCGGGGTGAGTGTCAATCGGTCTGTGCGTCTCCGACTACCTTCATGTTGCCTTGCGGTTCGATTTGGTCATGGGCTCGATAATGATACCGAGCCGACTCCTCGATCGGACTTGGAGCTCGAAGCTTGTTAGTACTATCTTCGTAACTCATCTCGAAGTCTCACTCAGGTTGCTTACCATTCGAACTCGATCAAATATACGAGGACCGAAATCTATTTCGACCGTATACTTGTTTTTAGTTCATGCTGCTAATTGTATTATAACCTTGAACCAAGTTTCATGTCCTGATAATATTCTGTTTTGGTAATAGGTATCATTTGAACCAACACTTCATATATAGGTTAACAAATCAACTAGGATATGATAAGACAACAAAACAAGCGAATAAAAGACAAAATAAGGTATATAAGCGTGTTAGTCATTCTATCCAGATCAAGGAAACATAATCTTTTTCAGTATATTATTTCCCACATTTGTTTTAGGTTCGCATCATTTGTGCCTGAGTTGACCGATCAAATGCCTTCTGTGATTGGAACGCAATGCAAAGAGAGTAACTAGAAATTAAGCCTTTTATCTTGTTACAACATTTTCCTCTTGGTCTTTAAATTTGCATATGTTCTGACATTTATTTTGTTATTTTATTAAAGTTTTGTTCAAAATATGGTGCTTCTTTTTTGTGTCCCAAGGACATTTATATGCACTAAGTGTCTTTAAAGATTTACCTTTGCATATATTTTGGCATCTATTTTGTTATTTTATTAAAATTTTGTCCAAAACATGGGATTTTTTATACTATATATTTGCACTGTCTCAGGGACATTCGATGCACAAAGTTTTCACAACCATGTCAATATTCAGAATGATTAGATTCTTTCATTCTTTACTTGCTTTTCGCATGTGTATTGTGAATATTATGGAGTTTATTCATTACGTTTCTACATTCGTATCACTAACCTTACATTTTAGACGTACAAGATCAATTTTTCACTTACACTATTTTTTCCATAATTTCTTCTATTATCAACTCTCTTTCGAGATCCTTTTTTTTTTTCTTAGAATGATTTTGTTATTGTTGTTATTGGAAAACAGTTTTGGAAAAGAATTTGTGTAGAGGCAACAACATATATTAGTTTTCACGCTGTCAATTGGAAGTTTATTCTTGGCAGTTTTATTTTGCAGGTTTTTTTTTACATATTTTTCCTTTTCCATGAATATGGTTGTTGCCACTGAATTCTGATCCTTAGCCATACATTTTCTTATATTCTTGAGTGGCTTGATAAGAAAAGTGAGGTGATGATGTTATTGACGTACTTAAGTCTCAACTTTACGCCTTTCCTATTTATATACAAGTCCAGGTATTATGTATTGTGAACAACTTTTTGAGATACTACAAGTAACTTTGTGAGGCTTTAGTAACTATTTTTTTATTTAGTTATCGTATATAACTTTTTCCTTTTAAGACTCTTTTGTTTAAAATTGCTTTTGCTTTAAAAAATTATGTCAGTCCCGTTTATATCGAGTTATTTTCTCTGTTCTATCGAGACACAAAAAAAAATAAAAATTAGAGTCGTCCTTCTCATTGTTGGGTTAGAGGCTGATTTTGAAGTTTTTAATTTGGACATAAGGTTGAGCAACACAATCTTGAGGGAACAAATCCTCAACAAATGGTTATCGTCATGCCAAACTGTACATACATTAGAAGTGCAAAGCAAGATTGGTGTTGGAGATTACATGGCCTCGGCTCAATCGACCAATGCCGATGATATTCAGATACTTTGAATTGGAGATCTGCAGTTTTGGATGGATGAATAATATCTCTATAGCTGCTTTAAAAAAATTGGATACGTACTAAAGTTTCTGAAATACATTGTTGTTGCTGAGTGTTTTAATATTTAAAATTGTGTCTTAGGGAGAAGAATAAATCTTTTAAATTGTTGTGAGAATTGGTAAGTATTTACTAGGGGTTGACGACTAGCTCGCTTAGTAGCTCCTCTGTCTTCCACAATTGAGGTGGAGGATTCAAACCCCATCAATAGCGTAACATCCCCTTTCCCTTTCATTTTTCCTTTCCCCTCCTCTCCTCTTGATGTAATTAAAAAAAAATTAAAAAAAGAACCAAATCAAATAGCAGAAATTAGGGGTGTTCAAACCGAACTGAAAAGTCGCACAAATCCGAAAAGTCAAACTAAACCGATTAAAAAATCTGATTAGGTTTGGTATTGAGTAAAAATTTCGAACCAAACCGACATATAAATATATATATAATTTTTATGTATACTTTTAAGACTTTTTATAGAATTTTCTTTAAAAAATATCTAAAAATATTTGTGATTCTCTTATGGGATGTAATATTTAGTTAAATATGAAATGCTCCATATTTATTAATTTTAAATAATGGATTGTATGATCACTTTCTTGTCAAGTGTTAATGAAATTGTCAATCTCTTTGTTCTTCCATATTCATATGTCAAGATCTATTAAATTCTTATATCTTTTTCGAATTTGAAATGGTATTTCGATAATTTAAAATTAAATAGAACATATCATTATATAAGTTCATATTTATTTTTATATTTAATTATTAAATTTGGTTAACCTTGAAAGTGTACATCAACGTAAAATTATTATCAGACGACTAAAAAATAACTATCATGTGCTATCATATATTTGTCAATTTTTTTAATTTTTACTAAACATATACTAGTATTTACTTATCAAAAATTTAACAAAGTAAGATTAAAATAATATTCATATAACAAAAAATTCGAAAAACTCGACAAAACCGAACCAATCCAAACCGATATAGTTGGTTTGATTTGATTTAGATAAAAACCGAACCAACTCGGTCCACGTACACCCCTGGGCAGAAATGATGAATGCATATATTTTCTTAACATAAACACCCATAGTGCTTTTCTTTTTCTTCTTCTTTTTTGCTTAAAAAGATACTGCTATATTACAAGTTAGTCATAGTACATACTCATATTGTCATTCCGAGTATACATAGGGGCTTGACAATTTTGCACAAACACCTCTAGTTCTTCTATATATTCAACTAATACTATACTTCATTCCTTTCATTCTTACCATTTCTCTTCATCACCTGTAGGCTGTAATATATATACCAGGTGTTTAAAGCACTATATGCATCTTAACTATCTATAGGGTTATATCTTTTGGCTTGAGTTATCCAAAATCATATAGATAAATCATAATATGTACAAAAGTAAATATATGTGGTATGTTGTGTATAACGTAGCACTGTAGTAACTCCTATTCCTCCTGCCTGGTTATATGCATGCCCGGGACGGAGCTGGCTTCAAATCCTGATTCCGCCTCTGATGAATCATGCAAATTAAACAATGAAGGTTCGTTAAGAGAACGCCTTTACAATAATATAGTAGGCGGAGTAACTATATTTCACTAAAAAATAACTTTTAACTAAATGTATAAAAACTACAATAATTGGTTCACGAAATCCCATACAACAACAATTAAGCCTCAATTTCGAGCTAGTCGGAGTCGGTCCTATATGAATCATTACTATCCATTTAGCTCCGATCTATTTTGACGTTCTTTATATTTTCTACTGACATACAAATCCTCTCCAATATCAAAAGACTCTTAGCAAATATATTTCGAACTAATATGAACGTACCAACAGAACTAAGGTTTAACTTCAACTTGTTAATATCCTTTACATAGATATCTTTTTCTTTACATTGTGTTCTATTTTTATTATGTACTTCATCTATAATACTCTTCTCAATTTATTTTAACTACAAGTAATCTTGTTACTTACCAGCTAAGCACAGTAATCTGGCATTTTGGTGCAGCACCATTTTCCATTTGCTTCAAGCTCAAACCTCCACAACTCACTCTAACTCCAATTGTTTCACTTTTCCAACCACTAAATCCAATTCCAAAACCAGTTCCAACATCAGCAGAAACCTTCAAACTCTTGTTCTTTAATCCATCTCTTACTTTCGCGACATTTTCAACGTATAACAATTCATTCATTTTAATACCAAATTTAACCACTGTCACATTCTTCGTCCCCTGGACGAAGCCTGGAACGTTTCCATTACCCAAATTTACACCATCTTCATCTTTCAATTCTATGTTTGTTTTTCCATAAATAATCTTGAGCTGTTTATTTGGATTTTTCAGCTCTACACTAACTGTTGCTTGTGCATTCAATTTAGGCCCGTCTGGACTGTCAGTGATATTAAATTTGGTGAATTCGAGGGATTTTAAGTGGAAAATAGGGAGCTTTGGATCAAACCAGAGATATAGAATGGCACCAGCAGCAATTAATAAGAGGATTAAGAAGATTAAGAAGATGCAGAAGTAACAACAACAACAACAGCAGAAACTCCTTCTGCGCGAATTATTTTTTTCTGGGTAGAATGATGATTGTGGTGGCCTTTGAATTGGTATTCCAGTTTCTCTATAACCAGGTGGCTTCTGCAAAGGTTTTCTCATTGACATTCTTCAAAATTCTCCTCTTTGTTTCTATCTGTTTCTGCATGTGGATTCAAATTTGATATTAATCATCATGTTTTCAGGTATGAAACGTCGAAAACTTAATTTAGGTTATTATACTCTTTAACATGATATCAGCGCGACAGAGATATTTGATTAGAATCTCACTTTTATTTAGTATCAAAAAAGAATTTTCACGTGTTTGAGGTATGAAAAAGAACAAACTCACACGTAAAGCTTGCCACATGATATAAAAAAAATGAGACGTGAGGGTACATATTGAAAACTTTATTGAGAAAATAAAAGTCATGTGGTTATTTTAGCAACTTAAGTTTTCAAATGACATGGTTAGTTTTCAAATGAAATTTGTATATACTAGCGTCAAATTAAATATGCATGATATGAAAAATATATTGTTATAGAATGAAGAAGCATTTATTTTGTTGAATTCTGTTTTCAGTATTGTAATGGATGCAATCGGAATTGTTGAGGGAAAGTAAATTGTCAAAGAATATAGCAAATAATATTGTGTATCAAACCAAAGAAATTAAAGATGAAAATGTGGGGTTAAAACAATTCTAAAAATGAATCAGAGATAAAACCTGGGAGTCGAATTCAGTGTTGCATTTTATTTGGAAAAGATATCATGTGTAAATGTTGAACCTTTATATATATTTGAGAGATCAAATGTGAATCTCAGGTGGTAATAATTGCGGAAAACAAATAAAAGAATAAACTTGGGTTTTGGAGAAGAATTTTTTTTTTCTTTCTCCTTTTTCTTTTGTAGGATTTCTGATGAGGTAAAAGACGAAATGGAGGAAAAAGAGAAGCAAAGGTGGGAGGAGAAAGGTTTCTGGTAATGACAAAGACAGGAACCAGATAATGGTGTGGGGATAAAGATTAAACTGCCGAGATTTACGCGCAAGGTTTCGAGTAGATTAATGAAAAATTAACAAACTTAAAACAAATAAGAAACATGAATATAATTTTCTATCCCCAAAGTCTTATCTTTTTTTTTTTCCCTCGGCCAAACTTTATTTTGCTAGTCTGTCAGCACGTACTATCAATATTATTAGACTTTGAGTAAATAATTATAACAAAATATACAATTTTTATGAATGATCAATGTGGTGACTTTTTGTCGAGGTCAAGATGATCGGATATCGCCTAAATGTAAAAGGACAGGCCGGTACACAAAACATCTCGTGTTCACGCAGGTTCAGGAGAAGGACCATACTCTAAAGGGATGTGATATAGACAGCTTACCTTGATGCAAGTATCAGTGGCTAATTACACAGCTCGAATCAGAAGCATCTAATGAAAGATTCTTTCCAAGACCATCTGCTATTGAATCAGCTGCTGTTGCCGGGCAAGATTCTATCTTTTCCTTATAGTCCATGGAATTTGACTCCGGGGAATGCTCATTCCTTAGATGGATCATAACTAATGCAAAGGATAGTCCCGTAAGAAGGACCAGTTTACTATGGTCAGTGTAGTGAGATTTGTAGAACTAATCATGCCTTTCTGCCTATCGTTGTAGAATTTGTTCCTAGAAAGATTATGTGTCTCAAGTATCCAACCAATTAATCCCATTACATATAGGTCACAAGGAAACAACTTTAACATTACCCTAAGGCTCCCCTTCGTTGTCTAAACGTAGGGAGATTAAAAATCATTCCTGTTAGGAGTAGTTGTAAGAATTACCTCGACAGGAATTGAACCTATAGGTTCTAATTAATTAGGTTTAAATAGAAGCATGAAGATGAAAGATTAAGCTTAATTTTAAAATTGAAACCGAATTGACAGGCCAATGTTATTACATTGATAATTGGGAGTGGGAGGGAAAATGAGTAATAGCAAGAAGCAATGGTAGAGAAGTTAAAAGGCATAAGAATTAGAATATGCATAACACATGCATTTTTACCAAAAATTTAACTATAACAAGCATTTTTGACAATATATATTTTCCAACAAAGGCATCAGTCATATCACAAAGATCACTTGTTCACTGCTTCCAAAGCCAATACTTTTAGACATCCAAACCAAAATCTTTTCACTTCTCAGTCAAGTTTTCTAGTATGACTAACATTAGCAATTTACATAAGACCGTCCAATATGGCATTCTGAAGTGAAGGGGACAAAAAAAAAAAAGGCACTCCTCAGCTTCGTCCATTGCTAAATTACAATTAGGTAAAATTAGAATTTCTGAAGTTTCAGAGCCCTATTCTGCATTTCTGTACTGTACTTCTGCGCGCTAACAGTAAGTTTGAAACTTGCACCAAAATTACACAATCAAACTATACTTCAAGATCTCAAAGTAGGGGGCGGGCACGGTCGTGACTATTTATCATCTAGCAGCCACAGCATCAGTTCTGTGGCTAGCATCAAGAAGTTGATGAAGCTTTGCTCCTGAAGTATTATTCTCATGAATTTCATCGTCTTTGTTGGTTCTATCCAACGGACCAGAGTTGTTGACTCTTGCTAATAGGTCTGCTGTGCTAACAGGTTGCAGCCTCTTATCACCAATCTTGCCTAAAGTTACCTCTTCTGCTTGTCCTCGTTGTTTATTTTGCAGTCTCTCCTGCGCAAGCCAGACCATATTTGACAAGCCCGAACATTGCATATAGATGTCACCACTAACAATTGAAGAAAAATACTTAACAAAGAAACAAAGTCGTACCATTAAAGCGGAATTTTCAAGCTTTAGTTTCGCAGAATTTTCAGTGAAATTATTTATCTCTGATTTGAGTCCCAAATTTTCGGAGGTTAAAGATTGAACTCGTATTGCCAATTCTTCAGCTTCTCCCTGGAGGGAGGATGGAAATAAAGAAAGTATGTGCATCAGAACTAGTAAATGAAAGCAGTAAAACGTAGGCCATATGATAAGATTAAATCAAAACGTAGTCCACATTTGCTATGTTACCTGCTTTCTCAACCTTGATCTCCTTGCAGATTCCCGATTAGACTGCTTCCTCTTCTCCCGCTTCATCTCACGTTCATTCTGAAAATATAGTTGCAGTTAACAATAAGAACGTAGAGTACACATTAAAAAAAACACTATTCTCGTCAATTCATGTACAAAAATGCAAACACCAAAGTTTATGTCAAATAGCAAGCAAAGTTAACCTGGATCATGTATGTACCTGTAACCAAGCTTCGCCCGGCACTGCAGGACTAATTCGTGAAACATTAGTTGGACTAGCTTTCACTAGTGTACCGACAGGATTTCTCAGTTCCAGAGTAGTAGTCATGGTTGGAGAAAATACTGTTCCGACTACTTTCTCTGCTATGTTACCAGGATTAAAAGCTATAGAAGTTTCCTTCTTGGTAGCCCCATTTACTTCCCTAGGTTGTGGACTGCTTCGTGTCCGACTCTTTCCGTCACCAGCTGTTAAAAGTTTGAAGAACAGTGAGATCACAAGATGAAATCAGGCAAACTACTTTCAAACTGGGGTTTTCTCATTTAACAAATATTGGAAGCAAATACGAGACAATGAATAGATGCAAGAACCCTTAAAATTCACAATGAGACCAAACTCTTACAGGTATTAGGAGTCGTCTCGCGGCTTCTTTTCTTACTCTTCTCACCCACCTAGGGTATGAAGAGAAAGTATCAGTTCCCCAATAGAAATTAAAATAAATAAATTAGATGAGACAAATGGATTTATAAATCTCAGAAGATCATACCTCTGCTGTGTGTATGTTACTTCCATCACTTGAACCTTCCGTTTGCCCACTGTCACTGACATGAAACCTAATAATTAGTCAAAATCTTTAACTGGATTACAGTAATTGCAAATATTCTATCTATGACACAGTCGAGCATGGTTCTTAAATAACTGAATATGATCCCAAGCATTAACTGGTATTGCACAAACCTCTGAGAAGGTCCATGGTCAGTACCGTCGCCATTGTCAACGCTGCAATTTCCTATTGACATTCCAAGCCCATCAGAACCTTTTAACTTACTCATCAAGCCTTGATTCGTATCCCCCGAAGTCTTAGCAGAAGGGTCCATACTCAAAGAAGCAGCATCCTACACAATGTAGAATGGTTTAGCTTCAATCCCACCATTAGGTACTAGTATACTACATTGAGTTAGAGAAAAGAATAATCTGTCACTGTCGGCATTTCCGGAAACAAATATGGTAAGTTCATAAACACTGTAAGAACTAAAAAGTCATATATACCATGGTTTGGCTGACAGCAGGAGATGATGTCATTACATGAGCCTGAGGACGAGACACCTGGAATCAGATAAGCAAATAATCTGTAAAATGAGCCTGTTCCACGTTTTAGCCACAACTCTTTGTCGCTAGCGTTACATGTTACAGTAACTCTCCATAAACATACAGTCACAGATTTAATATGAAGATGATAAAACCAAGTATAATTAGAAATTATAAGATTATAAGATCCCCATATTTTATTTTATTTTATTTTTTATAAGAATTCAGTTCCCTATGTCCATAAAAAATATTAAATTATCAAGAGATAACACATACATCCGACCAAGTTGAAAAAATCCCAATCGCGCAAAGAAAAAGGAACTGGTAAAGGTGGTTCAAGTTTTCATATAATACCCTCTACCAATGATCACTATTCACTTGAGCCAATCCATTAACTAATCTTTAACATTAAAAATCAAGATGAGTTCACTTGCTCCATAACAGAGCAAATACGGCAACTTTTTACAACTTCCAGTAGTGTGGATACTGGAATTTGTTGTTGGCCAATTGTAGGGCTTAATTCCTAAATCAGTTAGCTGCTTGTTTTTCACTCTCGATCTATTGTTAAAATAGTTATACCTTCATATTTGTCCCCGATACTTCTCAGTCCTTTAAGAAATTAGTGGGCCTAGCTCAATATGTTATAAGGTGTTTACCAATGCCCCAAAGTAAGAATTAGAAAGCAGTTATGATATCGAAAAAAGAATCGAAATGCTGGAATGGAGACTCACGATAGGAACTCCAGGGTGCGCATAAACACCACCATGCGCATAGATTCCTGCATATGGTATACCATAAGGTGGCATCATAGGCTAAAAAAGAAGGAGAATCCCGGTTAGCACTCGTGCAGTCAAAACCAAATAATCTAATACCTAACACTTCGATTAAACAAATTGCAAAAATTATTAAGAAACATTAGGCGAAATTACCTGTAGCGGTCCCCACATACAAGGATGAGGAGCTTGACCAGGTGCAACAGGAGAATTAACATATGGAGGTACAGCTACCCGTGGACCATAATATGCCTGAAGATTTAACTGGTATATGTAAATATCAACAACCACTAGAGCTACGGTAAGAATATTTAGCAGCAAGGCGAAAAATGATTAACCTGCATAGCCGCCCAATCAGGATACACGTGAATATTGCTCTGGTCCTGTCAATACAAGAAGAAATTTGCCAACTACTCAGAGACTAACTTCAAAGAAGAGATTAACAATAATCACAGATACTCTGAAGCATAGGAGAAAAATGTCAAACATACAACACAAAATTGAACAATAACCATTACTGTATTTGCTTACTGGTGCGGTCGAAGATGATTTCTCAGGCTTACAAGATTTCCCGTCCTCACTATTTCCCATGTATCAGAAAGCAACTAAATGCTATATTAATTCACAGCTGAAATGATTACTTCCTTTTGTAGGTACTGACCAAGATTATTATGCCAACTGCATAAAATACAGCCGTGTTAAACAATGAGCAACAAAATTTCACAAGACCAAAGATGGAATAACAAAAAGTTTCCCCCTTTCTTAATACAAGTATGGTCTAATCTAAAGGATATTGGCAGAAAACCATCCAAAGCTAAGGAAGCAAATGAACTTTGCGAAGTTTTATCCATCCTAACGTATTACAGAAAAATGTAACATTATCTTTGCATTTGTGATTAATTTTGCTAGCACATTGTGGTTAGAACAAATGGACGAAGACGTGGAAGCTATACTACGTCTCTATACATCTTTGCATCATCTTCTATACTACATCTCTTAAACTTTTGATTGCATACTATATTTGAAAAAATCTTACTGTATAAAATAAGTCCATTTTGGAGAACTGAAAATGATTTGCATGGTCAAAGTTTATTTTCTTGTAACTAACACCTTAAAAATGATTTTCAAATATTACCTCCTGTCCTTTCAAAATTCACTCATTTTCTTACAATTTGCTCTTATATATATATAGAGAGAGAGAGCTGCCTACATCACACCCCTTTGGGGGTGCGCTCTTCCTCGACCCTGCGTGAACGCGGGATTCAGGAAAGAGAAACAGGGGCATAATAGTCCATTCACAGTCCTCATCCAAAACAAAGTAAACGGAAAAAGTTTACAAAACTTGAGAATCTATAGAACAACCTAGGATGTAATGACAAACTAGTGCTCATCAATCCACCTAATTTACAACTAGAGAAGAACAAATAAAAGAAAAATAAAACATTGTTCCATGAAGTCTAAATTACGTTCCTTGGACTATCAAACTTTCTTAATTTCTAAACATTTTCATATTGAAAATAAGACAGATAATCTGCTATCACAGCTAAAGATAATTAAAAGTTTCTGAAACAGACGGCTTGTATAACTTAAACTTAAACTTTTAGTTATTTAGTTTCTTCTTTTTCACAATGATAACTCAAAAATTCTCTTCAACAGAAATGTCAGGAAATAATAGTACAGCAAATTCAACAGAATTCACCTTCAAAAGCCAAAACATTTCACAAAATAATAAAAAGAAAAATTTGCATAATTCCTAAATATGAACATACCTGAGAATATGATAAAGAGAGAGAAAATGAGAAAACTGTAGAGAGAGAAATTGAGAGAAGAAGAAGAAGAAGAAGGAAAGAGGAGAGCCAAGGCAACATCCACGTCATCAAACACGTGTACGTATCTAAACCAGCTTACTCACGTATACGTATACATTATTTGTACATACGGTTGGTAAAGGTACTGAGTTGTTTTTGTAAGGGGTGAGGTGGCGCGTTTAAAATTCGTGTATTTTATTTATTTATTCTTATGTCAGCTATTTATTTTACGTGTCATTTGCATACTCGATTTACGTGTTTCTAGCGTGGGATCTTGTTGGCTAAATTAATTGTACCACTAGTTTTGTGTCTGACGTGGTTTGTTCTCCGAAAATTACTTAAAATGAGAAAATTAACCTTATTGGATTATTCATTTCAAATCCGCCATGTAATATTGTAAACGCATCTTACAAGTATTTGCAGCCAACATAATGATAAATAAATCAGAAGGGGAGCAATTTCAGCTGTGAAAGTAGTCATGATTGTATTAAAATATGCTATTTATATTATGGACCAGTTTGGCTATAGATTTTGAGAAAATAAATTTGGGTTTTATTTGGTAAATACATGTTTGGTCATAGATTTTGCTTATATTTTGGCAAAATCCCAAATTTCAAATCCCAAAACCAGCTCATAGCTGGTTTTGGGCCAAAATATCACTATTGTATTTTTCTAAAATTGCCCCAAACTTTTATATTTTATAAAAGAGCCCACCATTTATTATTTTGTAACAATGTTGCTTCGTCTTCTCGGTCACATGATAGTATATCATGTAATTCATTATAAAAATGATAATTTTGTATCAAATTTATTTATGTTCAGGACTATGGCTTGCGATAATATAATGAATGTTAATGATAATAGTACTGTTGGGTATTTGTGATAGTTTTTAGAACTTGTGGGTATAAGTCATGTTTCATATTTTTCCAAAATAAATTTGGGAAATATGTTTTGAAAACTGATGTCCAAACACATTTTCATCTTCAAATCAAACTTCACCCAAATCAGGTTTTTCAAAACAAATTTGAGAATGTATGGCCAAACGCTAGCTATATTTTTTGGGGTGCGGTTCTTCTCTATTTTCCTCATTTACAATTACATAAACCATAAACTAAGGGGTCATTTGGCTGCAAGTATATTATCGGCAAGCAACCTCCACTTCCAACCAAGAGGTTGTGAATTCGAGTCACCCCAAGAGCAATGTGAGAAGTTCTTGGAGGAGGGAGTCGAGGGTCTATCGGAAACAGTCTCTCTATCCAGGGTCGGGATTGTATTACGCAGTATAGTACGTACATAAATTTCAGTATTAGCAATACAATGTTTAGTTAGCATTTTTTTAGTTGCCACAACCAATCTGAACTGTCACTATTTAATACTCTTGAATCTTTATTAGCACTTTCTTAATCATACAGAAAGTGGAACACGTGTAAGAAAATCAATGTGGGTCCAGAGCTAGATTTGGATGCAATGAATGGTGAAGATTGATGGACGGCTTAGCGCAGGCCACGCAAGTGAGAATATCAAACTACATCAAGAATCTTTGCCAACAAGGACAACTCAAATGCGAGGGGAAAAAATCATCTTTCTTATATTCAATTATTATAGTACGAATAAGTTAGAATCATTATTACGACTTTAATTTCATGACACGTATTGTTCTTTTTGGCCGAACACACCTTACGAATTTGTTCTTTGACAACGACATATATTATCGGGTCCAAAGCATACATAAATGCAAATTTATGGTATGTATTACAAAAAAAATTTCCTTTCTCTTTCATTCCTTCCGATTCGGAATTAGCCTAACTTCCCTTTCTTTTCTTTTTAAAAAAAAAAATATTTGTCAGCCTAGAAGCCTATTAATTTCGCCAGATGTGTTGAGCATATTGTTTCACCAAAAAATATAACTTTCGATTTAAATAATTTATTTATATAATAATGGGTTAAACTTAATTAATAATAATATATTTAGATGTTATTTTCAAAATAGTGACTAGTGTTGGTCAGATCTAATGGAGGATTGACAACTATATGCATTAACTATTCTAAAAGGTATGAGCGTTAATGTAGCAATAACTAATAATAAATAACAATAAATGGTATTTAAGTAAATAGAAAGAGTGATTCACCCAATAAAGTATGAACTAGCTGATTATCTCTCATGTCAATGATGAGTGACAGACAAATCCCAGAATGTTCGAATTATTCTCGGATCTGACGGAAGAGAGTGGGATAATACCAACAAGAATCTAGACGAAAATGTAGTATTTGTAACTTTGTAAGAGAGAGACATTTTCTTAACAAACCCTAATAGTACAAGTAAAGAGAATATCCACTAGAATATTTCCTTTCATATCCTATTTTGAAAACTAGCCATTACAACTTTGTCGACGGTGCTCGACATCGACCTTTGCTGACATTAGAGGGGGATCCAGGATTTGAGCTTTATGGGTTCCTACCGTAATTTCAAATTAATATGCAATAATAACTAGGTTCACAGTTAGATATTTATAAATATTTAGTGATTTTCTTAATATAAATACAGGGTCTATGCAAGATTTATTGGGTTCCCGGGAACCCATATTCAATGCTTTAGGTCCGCCCCTGGCTGACATCTCGGCCACGAATCTCGCTGCTTCCTGGTCGACCTCGACTAGTAACGGCTTAAAGACTTTTCATTTAGCATTATCTTGTCTTAAATATTCTAGAGAAGATTTTAACCTATACACGTATATGGTAAACTCTTCTAATATCTCGTTTGAACTTGTAAATCTGCAATTTTGCAGAAAAATAATGAAAATACACCAAAAGAACAATTATTTCAAACCAATCTAAATTCTGTAAGCTTTTCGAGTCATCTAAAGAAACTAGATAATTTTGCCCATGCGAACACAGAGGCCGCTCAACCCTACATGTGGCCTAAAGCCAAAATTTAAAAAAATGCATTAAAAGACATTCAAGATTAAGAAATGCTTTTCCATATCTAATTCTTTGACAATTTCATTAGTTTGAGATTGAAAAATTGTCTAAAAAGCACTTTAAGAATAGAAGAAAATTCTATAAAATCATAGTAATAAACAAAATTGCAACATATATCATTCACTGTTAAAAGAGAACTCTCTACAAAATATCATAGGGATCACACAACCTCAGGACAGCTCGCAGGAGATAACCCACCTGCTTTGCCTCAAACTGACATCTCCCTATACCCTTCTACAGTCATGACTACTGCACAATCACTTAATCTTCTCGATTCTGAACGCATTAACAAGACATGATAATCTACCCCACTCCACAACTAAACAACATGAGAGATCCCTCAACACACCCATAACTCGAGACCATACGCCAAATAAAGACAGAAATCAAACACCTCATAGTCCTTGCTACATCTTAAGTAAAGTCTTCTCGTCACATTCGAACAATCTGAACATATCTCACAGTCACATCATACTCACCACATAGTCATCAAATCACAAATTCCACTAATGGGGACACCAAAGTACCTATAAGTGCCAAAAAGCACGTGCTCACACAATTGAAATCTCCGTGCTCAAGCTACCATCAAAACCCGATCTCAAGTCCTCCAGACTGGCCCATCATCAGCACGCCAAAATCACATATCACACTTTAACCATGGAATCACAAGCTATCGGTGCACAGATGATACCGAGCGTTCACATGCGCATACGAATGCGTGGAAGGAATTCAAAGAGTTACACCTCAAGCTGAATCAATGATCTGTTACTCGCCAACCTAGGGCAATACCTCCTGATGTGACCAATGTTCCCACACTCATAACACCCATCATGATGTCGTGGCTGCTGAAACCGAAGCTAACCCAAATGGGCCGGATCACCGTTGTAGTAACTCTGGAGTGGCGGTGCACTGATAGGAGCTGAATATGTACTAAATGTTGGCTGTCCATAGTAAGGCATAATAGGACCATGACTCCCTGAATCACCGTGAGATGCATGAAGTGCTGAATGAAACGGTCTGGGAGGATGACCCCTACCAAAATTACCCCTGCCTCGAGACGAGTCACCACTGAAACCACCGAACTGACAAGGCGTCTTATCATACCTCTGTCCTCTCTCCTGTGCAGGAACCATCTCGATCCTCCTCGCGACATTAGCATCCGCTTGAAAAGAAATCTCACTTCCGGTCTCCTTGGCCATCTGAAGCCTGATAGAGTGAGTGAGTCCTTCAATAAACCTCCTCTCTCTCTCTCTCCCTCAGTAGGTAGTAAAAGGATAGCATGACGAGCCAAATCCACAAAATGGGACACGTACTGAGTAATAGTTATACTGCTCTACAGTAGACGCTCAAATTATTTGCGGAAGTCCTCTCTCAATGTGATATGAAGGACCTTATCCAAAAATAGCTCAGAGAACCTCTCCCAGGTAAGTGCAGGCGATCCAACTGGTCTAGTCAATGTATAATCCCTCCACCACATCCTGGCGGAACCCGTCATCTGAAATACAGCAAAATTAACCTCATTGGTCTCAACTATACTCATGTTCCGCAGCACCTCATGGCAACGTTCAAGATAATATTATGGGTCCTCAGAAGTTGTACCACTGAAGTGAACTGGAAAGAGCTTAGTAAACTTATCCAGTCTCAATAAGGCCTCAAAAGACATGGCGGGCCTATCATCGATCTGTGCCACAACAACTGGCTGAACTACCCCAACTGGCGGGGCTGCTGGAACCTGATTCTGGGGAGCCATCTGCTC